CATTTCTTTTCAGGCCAGAATACTTGAAATAGTATATATGCACAGTTGGACTGTGTACTCTGTGTGTGTTGACCGTAGATGTTCGCTTTCTTTTTCCGTCCCTAAAATTAAGTCCAATCCGTATCTTCCTTAAACATTATCACTTTCTTTGTACGTATTGTGCGTTTGACAACGATCAGTGAAGTTCCCCTCACTGTATTCCGTTGTGCGATGATGATGATGACCAGGGAGGCCTCATGTGGTTCGCTACTCCCAAGGCTTGCCGGTTTGCATCAGGTTTTCCGGACTATGGAGCTTACTCCGTCCGCTGTTCATCACACTAAGGTGTGTCATGAAGAAAAAATTATACTATAGCTTGCTATTTGAGAAAGATGAGCTACTAAAACGCCTGATTTCTTCGGAACATGATATCCTCGAGGTCGGTTTCTATCTCGATGACATCAATTTAAATCGTTGTTCTACTCCGTCCCGATGAGTTTGATGCTGACCCTCAGTAGCTTGTCCGGTTTTAGCTCCGTCCTGCAAACTTCGCTTTTGGCGTCAAGTTTCGAACATACGCAAGCTATGGCTCTCACACACTGCCATTGCTTTATATCTTCACATCGTGTGGTGCCCCTCACCCGTGACTTGAAACATTTAATTTCCTCCTGAAATATTCGGTGATCCGATCGGATCGTTTCTCGAGATTTGCACATTTCACAATCTTTCAACCTGATCACCGATTCGGAATGTTGTTTTCTGCTTTTGATCTCTTTTCGGCTGATTGACTATAGTACTCCAGCTACGCATAGTCAACGTTCGCTGGGCTTCCTTTATGCGGTGGATGAGGTGTGGATTCACATCCGGCTAATCAACGAATGAACCTAAGTGATCGTGTGAGAAGGTTATGTATCTTATGCTACTTAAGAGTTGACAAACCCCACATACACCTGAGTTATGGGGGGGGGGGAAGAGACACCTTCCAGGGATTTCAGATTCGAAAGTGTGGTTTGATGACATTGTGCCATCTCTGACCTGGCATCGGTTTCCCAAGCGGGTACAAAAAACGGATTTCATACCAAAAACCAATGACAGCTCATACCTGAATCGTTCGAGCAGGTATTACAACATCGACTCAGTCGAAAGAGTCACCCAGTCTAATCCTGTGTTGATGCTTATTAACGTGGTTCCACTGTTGGCAGTTTTGAATAACTCGTCACATGTTACAATTACGGGAGTCCTCCGACCTCCATTGTTACGTAACATTTGAAACTGTTTTGAATATTTTCGATCCTTTTTAAGATTTTTCGTGAGCTTTTGCAAATTTCACCTCACTTTGCTACCTACTGATTAGAATCTATCAATTTCCCCCCGCCCTCAGGGCTACTGATCGATGATTGATTCAATACCTCAAACGGGCTACAGGTTCTGATCCACAGGCGACATTCGTTGCCGGAAGCATTGCATGTATATTCTGATCCAACTGTTCGTCTACACCACCGTAATGCTCAGCTCTTAGCGCATGCTCTGTTCGTATCTTAGCCGTCTGAAATTGCTGGTGGGCCGAACCGATTGAAAGATTTTGACAGCAACTAATGACAGCGTCAGAACTAATTCGTGATATAAAAAGAGCCACGCTAACGCCAGCCTACTGCTATGGGATCAACTTGACCAAGGTGTTCCATTGATTTGGAACGCCGTGCCCTGCATAAGTTTTTACCGGAACGGAACAGACAGCGCAAAGCCTTCGGAGTGGAGCAGTATACTCGCAGGCTTCCGTAGAGTTCTGTTTTTCAACCGGAACGTTGAAGTCACTCACGAGCTTTACCGCAACCGAGGAGTTCCGTAAGTTTGGCGTACAACTCGTCCTTTCGTGCGTCGGGACGGCACTTGGTCGGCCAATATGTTGAAATGAACGAAAACTTTGATATTGATTCCTCTCCGATTATTGAGTGCCACCTTGGGCCGCACATGAATAACGGTAAAGGGATGGTTGAAATGCTTCGAGTAAATTCAAATAGAAAACTGAGAACCCGTATGGACTATGGATGCAAGAATAAGGCGGTTGACCACTTGTATCAGGGGACGACTGCGACTGGAAAAGTCCGAATCTATTGTTCTTCTAAAATGTCCACCTAAAAAGGTGCCAACTCGAACTGAAACCCAAATAATAGATTGATTTCTACTGACCTCACTCATCTGACCTTCGGGACATGGTGGACTGTTTTTGCCAGAACGAAGCACTGATTCATGCCACGTCAAAATGCATTTTCGTCATGAGTTTTAAGATAATCTTGCCGTCTTATCCAGGATGGTGTCGAATTCCCTATATTGGAAACGTGGACGAGAGACAAAACTGTGAGCCACCTGTGGCAGTCAAAATGGCTTCTCTTTGCGCGTTTATTATCAACAGATTCCTCACATTCGTATGTAGAATCGATCGCTTTGAAAAATCTTGGGGTTTTTGCATGTTCGGGATTTTATTCAATTTATCAGCGCAATCGACGCATGCTTGAGTGTGAGGCTATCCCAATCATTGTTTTGTGCTTAATATGATGTTTTTAGTATGTTATTGGTCTAGGTGTTGTTTTTCGGAGCCGATTTCTACTATCCGCTGTTTACCCATTGAAGTAACTAACCCTCACGACGCGACCGCACCTTGACGTGGTGTGATGGTTGTGCACCTCTTTGATCCAACGAGCTGCGCAGGATGGCTTTTGTGATGCCTAGAGATCTTATCATGGCTGGAAGGTCGAAGGATAGAGGTCGAACGAAGTGAAGACTCCTGGTCCATCAGGTTGGGTGTTCGATTTAAGTCGGCGTCCCAGTCGATAAAAAATGGTGGAGTAGTAATCAATCAAAGTAAATGGGTCCCCACTTCGCTTCACTCGCGGCCTTGCAGCTAGGTTCTTCTCAGAACTAAAGGCTTTGGTTGTGAACCGTAATCGTTCTCCTGCCTAATGAGTGGACCCCCAAGCATTACCTGTCCATCAAACCCGAATATATATGCAATTCGAGTTTGGCAACGATCAGTGAAGTTCACCTCACTGTACTTCGTTGTACGATGATGATGATGATGATGATGGGTGTCTTGAATGTTCTGAATCTTTAATGATTTCCGTTTTCCTCACAATTTTACTGTTTCAATAGGACTTGTGTTGCCCCAAGAATTATGTGAAAATGTTTCATCGAGACTATCGCAGTCAACTCCGTTTGTACAAGCGCCTGACGAAACGTGTTAGTTCGGCCTGTTTGGCTTGCATTCGACCGCAACAACACTTACTGAACTCATCAGATGACAAAATTAAAGAAACCGCTGGCTCGGACGCCATGAACAGCTTCGGGCAAATATGTGTTCCTCCGTCGCATCCGGCCATGATTGCCGCGAATAATCTGGGTTCGGCTTCATCGGCACCAGAACCTGTGGAGACGTCGGTCACTACGAAAGCGCGTCTGGCAATGATCGATTCGATGATGCGACAAGCCAGCTTACAACAGTATAATGACCCATGGGTTGGAATAGATGACGATAAGGAAAACGCATCTCCAGGTAAATCTTGATATGAAATCCGAGTCTTAACTTACCGATTCATGGTGAAAACATCATTTTCAAAAAGAAGCGATATCACAAATCTCCGCCCTTTTATTGTAGATAGCTTTTTATTTTCCCCATTTTCGTTGATTTTTTTCGTTCCAATGTTTTATCATAATTTCGTAACATAATTTTATTTTCTTGCTGGAAGACTGAGCATTGCTGGAATTTGACGTAGAATTAGTTCCCCTTCGTTAGTCAGTGGTTTTCGTGATTTCCTACTCCATCCTGTTTTTTTTGCGTACGTGTCATTTCACAGGCGTTCCAGTTTCCCAATCCCCGACAAGCTTCGCTCCAGTAGATTCTCCACAATCATCGAATGGTTCCCAACAGCGAAGCTTTTCCAACGATCCTATCGAATCTCCCG